CCTCTGTGGCTGGAGGCCACAGATAACGGCTTAGTCCAGGGGTTGGGACAACCACTGTAGACTACTTAATGGTGCCTGTGCTGGCTCCACAGAGCCAGTGTCTAAAGGGGTCCCCATACTGTACTTGGCTACAGCATCTGACATAAAACCAAACCTTTACCTCCTCCCATCACTTTCTAGCACCAAAGCTTGTGCTAGCAGTGAAAGCTGGGTGGCCTGCGCTGATCACTAATTAACTCCGCAGTAATGGCAATAGCCACCCTGGCCCCGCACCCTGCAGCCATCAACTGACAAGACCCCACTATTCATAGGCCTCATGACCACACTGCAACAAAAGGGCTGTGCCCCACCACTCCTATGCCAAAAGAAGCCAACACAACCCCCATGACCGCACACGTCCTCTCTCCCCGTTAGAAATGCAGCTGTAATGTGTCAGACCAAGCAGAGGGACTGTATTAAAAGGCTCCAGGAGAGTTAAAAAAAACCCCAACAACCAACCAAACGCTGCTAACGCAGCCTTGTCCTGCTTCATGGCTGCTCACTGGCTGGGGGGCAAGCAGAGGAAGGGGATCACACTGTGACAGCTCATCAACCCAACATAAAACTTGCATTGCCTTCCAGGGTTTTTGTATTATTTTAAATTTGTGCTGTACTGCCCCTGTAAAACCTGTTCTCAGGCAGGCATTGCACTCTACTGCCTGATCGGACATTATGTTATAAACTGCCACTTTGAACAGGTTGTTTTTTCTGCCATATTGGCTCAACATAGTTGAATATAATTGTAGCCATTAAAGAGAATTTTATCTCCCTTCTTGTTGATACAGGACATCTGCATTTCAAGGTTGGAGATGCACAAAAATACTAACAAAAAGTGCAGAGACAGACACGCACAGACACAGTTAAGGCCCAGGCCCTTTAAGGCTGTGTCCGCATGAATGCTTGCACTAACAAGCAACCCGTTTCACAGCTCTCAGTGTTGGCACCTGCAGGCTTCTGTTCACAGCCTTGTTTGCAGCCTGGCTGAGGGCGGCCGGCATGGGGCAGGCATGACCTGCAGCGTGTGCGGGGACCTGCACCACGAACAGAGAAGGCGGCCAAGCACAGCCCAGGCTGCTCCTCTGTGGGTCCTAACTCTGGGTCCAGCCTCAGCCTGGGGCACCCATACAACTGTTGCCGCCACAGGCCCCACGTCCCTGAGATAGGGCACATTCAATGGAGCTGTGTCTACCCCCACCGCTTCCCCTGGGTACTTTGGCCGAAGCAAGGAGCCCTCCCTGGGGTTCGGTAATGGTCCACCCCTGCAGCACACGCTGATGCAGGTGAACGCTGTCCTCACCCCACTCCCGCTCCCTGGCTGTTAGCAGCAACGGGCATTGTGCTGTTTCAGTCCTTAAAAGCCCCTGATTTCCTGCAACCAATTTTCCCAGGCCAGGCTGAAGAACTGCTCACAGCCTGCTCACAACCTACGGAAAACCTCTTCCTCCTCAATTAGCTTTTATTGGATTGTAGAATGTCCACGCAGACAGCGCTGGCAAGGCTTGGACACAGAGCGAGCACGCTATGTACTGTGTAACATGCAAAAACTAGGTGCCGGTATGTTCTCTCGGTGTATAATTATCTTTATGTGGGTCAGCTGCCACCCAGCTCCCAGTAAAACCAGTTAAGAGCTGTCATTGTGTGTGGCACACAGGAAAAGCTCTCTCCAACAGCCTCACCCTCGGAAGCATGGCAGTGCTGGACAAGAAACACCAAAAATAAGGGCCATCCTTACCCTGCTCACATGACAACACATAGGATGTTTTGCAAGGATTTCAGCACTACCAACATACTGGGGCGCCCCCATTTTATGAGGCCCCAGCTGGAGACACCTTGAAGAATCACATTCTAAAAGCACCAGGTCCTTTTCCAAGGGGATCCAGAACTTGGAGGTACTTGCACCAAGCATCCAGATGTGGGTTAAGTATTCCAAAGGCCTCAGTATTTTAGGAAGTACAGTTACTCTCTTTCCCAGGGTCCGAGTACAGTATAAACCACCAAAAAGGGAGCTGTGCCTGTACAAAACATCTCAACAAGCCCCAGGGCAAGGTCAGATTCTCTGAACCAAGCACACCTCTGGTCTCTTTAAAGGACCCAAAGGTGGCAGAGGACAAACCTATACAGGAGCTGATCTGAAATGAACCAAATCCATTTCACAGGTACCACTCAAATGCCCTTCAAATGATGCCGACATTCAGGTGTGCTCACTCCTTCCCAGGGATGAAACAGAATTAAAATTAACACCAGTACTCCTTACAGATCCCAGGAACCATCTGCGTTACAGCATGCAGCTATGCCTGCCCTAGCTCCTGGCCAGGGACAAACAACAATAACGTTCAGGAAGTAGTAACAGGTGAATAACTATGACCTCCTGGCTCTGGCCAGAACTGCTTCATGGGAGAAGCTGAGAGCTGCTTCGGCTCCATGAAGTTTCGCTTCAGTGACACGAGCTCTGTGCAAAACTCGCACTACTGAAGTTGGCTGCTCCCTCTGTGTGCTTCCATGCATTACCACCAAGTTTCAGGAGTTAATACAGCAGGCAATAGCAAAATCCAGTTTAATGGCCTGGCTGAGCACGAACAATTATCATCTGAAAAATGGGTGCCCTAAGAGCATGGAGAGGCCAGGCAAAATGGGAAGCAAACTGATTGAGGAGCCAGTCTTCCATGGGAGAGCAAAAGATCTTGGTAATAACGCAGGACCCGGCGCAGGCACAAAGTGAAGATTTCAAGTACAAGAATTGCAGACACCTACTATTTAATTCTCTTCCTGCCCAGAGAACAAAGCAAGAAGCAGCGCTGAACAGAGGCGCCAGCTGAGCAGCTTTGGAGTCAGACCTTTTGTCTACAGAAGAACAGACCCAGGTACACACTGAATGGTATCAGCCTGTCCCTACAGGCACCACTACAGCTTGCCTCAAAGAAAACCCTGTCACTGAGAGGGCACCTCAACGTTTATGGTCCACTCCCCCAGTTCCCCTGGGCTGGCACTTTTCAACAAGAGGCCCCTAATCATTCGTGGCTGAAGCAAGGGGGCTGACAGGAAGACATACTGGTAGGAAATATGCCGAGATCACAGATTCAGTTCTCATCCATCACCAGAAAGATGACAGCAATTTAAGTCCTTCAAAATTGGCAGCTAGGAGATGGAAGGCTTTTTCACCCTATATTCATTTAGAGCCTGTCAGTCATCTTGGTGCCTTTCATGCAGCTGGACAGGCCCTCACCAGTACACTCTCCCCAAAACCACCTCAAAACTGTATCTCCTTGGTTCAGCACAGGTATCCAGGCACATGATCCAGAGAGTCTTTGCAGATCTGAAGTTTCAGCATCAGTGTGCTCTCACTAAACACTTAGGCCTTACAACGTTTTACATGTCATCTCAGTTTGAGGTCTGTAGTAGGAATCACAAATCTCTTGTGGCCCATTAATCTTGGTTTGTACATCATCATGAACCTGACAACTCTGTTAGCAAGTCCCTACAATGCATTTCAGCTGCAGTTCACACACAGCTGACTCACATGACTAAATCACTGGGTTAACACACTGAAAACCAAAGGATTCATACCATCCTTCCAGCCACAACCAGTCCAGACATAAAAATGGTTGTCAAAGAAGAGGGTCCACTTACTTACTGTATTGTTCTGAAAAGCATTATTTTCCCACATGAACCTGAGGAGGGTTTAGTCTTGGGAAGTTTGTTCAAAAGACAAAAAGGAAAGCCAGTCACTCCTGCCTCTCCCTCAAGCGTCATGCACTGCAAGAAATGAAGCTGGTCAGGCTGCCCAAGGCAGAACAATGTGTACACATGCACTTCAACTGTCCAAGGTGATTTCTTAAGTACAACTGGCACAACCCCCCATTATGGACCAGAAAAATAAAACTTTGCAATGGAAGGGTTTATTAAAGAAACACTACAGGGTAACACAGTGCATGTTCTGCTTTATGCCATGTGCTGTTAACGCAGTCACCTCAAACATTGAATATGGTTATGATCAACTCCGAAAATATAGTGAAAGAGAGGGACAAGGGAAGCTTTTAGGAAACAGTACCCAAGAAAGACTGTACCATAAAAAGATTAGACAAATACAAATTCCAAACAACAGAACGTTACAAAGGATTTCAAGGAGAGGACAAGACAGTAATTTGTTACAATACAATCAAAACACCAAGAAAGTGAGTTTTGTGCTATTTACTTACTCTGTTGCACTACAAGAATACTAAATGAACCCAAAAACTTACTTGAAATAACAAAGTGTTGTTTTTACATCACATATAAC